AATCCAGCCTGTGGGGATGCAGTTCAGTGGTAGAAAACCCTGGGCTTAATCCCTGATACTAGGAGCTGGGGGGAGAGTAGGTCTCCATAAAATAAACAAAACCAAAATTTAACAAACTCCAAACACACCTCCCAAAAAACTCCCTACATTAATAAACAGTGAGGATGTATAGCACTTGAACTCATGTGGATGCAAACTGGCACGGTCTCTAGAGAAAACAGTATACTGGTTCCTCAAAACTCATACAGGGAATTCCCATGTGATCCAGCAATCCCATTCCCAGTTATCCATCCAAAAGAACCAAAAGCAAGGGTACTTGTTCACAGCAACATTATTCACAGTAGCTCAAAGGTAGGTAGAACTTATCAGCAGGCAGGCGGATACACAAATGTGGCACAGACCTACAGTGGACTAGTATTCAACCTTAAGGGGATGGAGTCCTGTCTCCTGCTATGAAACAGACGAACCTGGGTGACATTATGCTAACTGAAATAAGCCAGCTACAAGGTAATATAGTACCACTGCATTTTTAAGAGTTACCCAGAGCAGTCACACTCTTCGAGGCAAAAAATAGGACAGTGCTGGCCAGGGGCTGCAGGGAGAGGGAAGGGGATCTTGTCAGTGAACATGGAGTTTCAGTGTGGGGAAAATGGAAAAGTTCTGCAGCGGGGTGGGGCTGTGGTCGCACACAGCATGACGCAATGTAACATCACTGAACTGCACACTGAACACACTTAGCCTATAATACTGAATGCTGTATGTTATCATGATCTTTAGAAATTAATTTCAGTTAAAAATATTAATTTTTCAAAGTGCATGACTGGGTGGTACCATTAGAGTTTCTTTCTGCATCATAACTGGCTGATCACCTTGAAGAATTTGCTTCAAATTCTGGTTGCTGAGGAGCAAACCAGGAAGAGGCCAGGGATTTGATGGAGAGAGAGAGGGGGAGAGGGTGGGGGAGTGGGACAGAAGAGCTGGCCTGACGCTGGACATCATGTGGATCCTGCCCCAGAGGACAACGCCCCCAAAGATAAAACAGGGCCAAGAAGACCAGGCACTGCCATCCTTCACAGCTTACTCAGACCCAAGACAACCTCTGGATTGGCCTAGACCTGGGAGTGCCAGTGGAAGAAATGTGGGCGTGGCCCTGGCTGTGGGTGGTTGGGAGTGTCTCCTGTGAGTGCAGCCCCGCTCTGAAGGCTGCCCTTTGGGGGAACAGTCCAACCCATTTTATGACCAGGAAAAAATAATTTCCTTAGGAATAGGCTACTTTCTTTTTCTTTTCTTTTTTTTTTTTTTTTTTGCAGTACCGGGGATTGAATTTAGGACCCTGCGTTTGCCAGGCAAGCGCTTATTCTACTGGGCTATCTCCCCAGCCCTGGGTATTTTCTTAATGACAATTTTTTTTTTTTTTTTTTTTTTGAGTCAGGGCCTCACTCTGCAGTTTGGGCTGATCTTGTGCTCACTTTTGTAGCCTCAGGCTGCTCTCTAACTGCAGAGATCCTCCTGGCTCAACCTCCCCAGATCTGAGTTTACAGGCCTGTGCCACCATGCCTGGTTCCAGGGTTGCATGGTGGGTGCCCACATCTGGGGCGGAGACTGCATGGCATGTGGGGCCAGGGATCAAACTCAGGTACTTGTGTTTGCCAGGTAGGTACTTATGCCTCTGAGCTATCTCACTGGCCCCATTGACAAAATTTTAAAGAAAACCACAGTGGGTTGTTTTTGTTCTTTAAATGTATTTGATTGTTGCAGGGTCTCACTACGCAACTCAGACTCATAGTGATCTCCCTGCTTTCAGCCTCTCCAGAGCTGGGATTACAGGCATGCACGACCACGACCAGATTCTGGCTGGCTCAGCATGCCCTGAGGGCAAGAGTGGCATAGCATGTGGTGCTAGGGATCGAACTGCAGTCCCTGTGCTTGCCTAACCTTGCCTAAGTAGGCTCTTTAATTTGCTGAACTATCTTCCTGGCTCCACCATAGTGGTTTTGAGAGATGAGAGGACCAAGAAAAGGCCAAGCGAGGACAGCCTTGGCTTACATGGCCACTTTAAGATTTGCTGCAATGGAGGGTGCCCTATGACAAAATCCAAGAAAACACAGCATGTAACCATGGAGACCCATAACTGAGCGCTGACTATTTATGTTAAAGGTAGTGGGCATTCTAAATCGATTCCTCTCAGCTCCAATTGCATGAGCTCGTTTAAGGATGGCTGTGTTTACAGTCCTGGCAGGGAATCCAACAACAGAAAAACCTTAAAAGTAGGGCTGTTTCTGCTAAGTGAAGACTGGCCCTCAAAAGCACATGTGAAATTATTTTGTAAACTCACACTGCAGTTTACAGTATGGCCCACTTTGTGGTTGTTGTTATGTCAACAATTTGTTATTGTTTGGTTTTCTTGCTGTTGTTCTGAGACAGTGTCTCCCCTTCCTAATTCAGGCTGGCCCTGAACTCACTATGCAGCCCCCAGCTGGCCTCAAACTTGCAGCAATCCTCCTGCCTCCACCTCCTGAGTGCTGAGATTACAGGCATGCACCCCCACACCTGGCAGTTGTTATTTTGAAACAAGGTCTCATACTCACTCTACATGGTTCAGGCTGGCTTTGGACTAACAGTGATCCTCTGTCTCAGCCTCCCAGGTGCTGGGATAACCAGCATGTACCATGACGTCCAGCAATGCCAACCATTCATTCTACATTACCCCCCACACACACACACTTCTGGCCTCCCTGAGCTTCCAGCGAGGTGTGCAGGGAAGCCGCATTCTTTTTTCACATCCATCTTGGGAACTGATTTTTTTCCCCCAGACTCAGGAGCACACACACTGTGTAGAAGAATGAGGATAAAGAAAGGGTACTAGGAGGTAGACAAAGGCATCTTTTTTCTCCAGGTCTCCCCATGACACTCCACGCACCCAACACCCATTATCTATGTCCCCAGGATGGGTCAGCTGCTGCTAGACCTTCCTTGCTGCTGATTCTGAGCGAGGTGCTCTGATCAAGCTACGCGCTGTCTGAGGGCAGGGCTGTCTCTCAGCAGATGGGACTCCACCAACAGCCACAGTAATAGCTGATATGGGGTGAACAACTGTGACAAGCCAGGAGTAACTCCAAGCCCTTGACATATAGTAACCATTTTAGTTCTCACTACAGTCCTCATACTGTTTCTACTATTGCCTGCATCTGGTAGATAGAGAAATTAAAGCCTGGAGAGGGTTAACTAACTTGCCCAAGCTCACACAGCCAGTTAAGTCCCAGAAGCCCTGCCACCTCCTCTCCACAGTTGGGTCCTATGCTTTTTACACTTGCTTGGTTTTCTGCCAGGATATCATAGGGGTTGTGGGGAAAGGCTCTTATAGGGCTCCCATCTCTATCAGGCTGGAAGCCACCTGGGGGACTGTCCTTCCAATACATGGGGGAACCTCCCCACCCTTTGGCCCCACAGACGCTGTGCTGCCCTTTGCCCTCCCCACATGGGACCCTCAGAGGACAGGGACTTGGCACTTCCTCAGAGGCTGTCCTAGGCAGAGGCTGTGTGGACCAGCTTTTGTGACACCCTGACTTTCCTTTCTGTCCAGCACTGAGTCTGATCACGGAAGCCACTCAGGGTCTATGTTCGGGGCAGATGACTTCTCTCTGGTCCCAGCTCCTGGCTGGAGGGCAGATCTGAGCATGAGGTGGGCCAGCCCCAGGGATTTAACAGGCAGTAAACAACCCCATTCATGCGTCAGCTGTTTTGCTCTGGAGCAGCCTCATCTGCTGGACAGGCCCTGACCAGATCCCGCCAAGTTTATCCCTTGGGTGGGGCTGTGGCAGGCAACAGTGCAGTCTGAGCTTGGCTGAAAGTCTCTTCCACAGACTGCTTTCCATGCCTTTGGAGGCTGAGATTTCTATGTGGGAGAAGCAGTCCTGAGAAGCAGGGGAGGGACTATTTCTGCTTCTCTCCTGGGGCAACCCAAGTGGCAGTCAGCTGAGAAACGCCCCAAAGAATCTTCCAGAACCACCGTCGCTCTCTGGTCTCAGGGCTTAGAACAGTTGACCAGGACCAGGGAAACCTCCTGCACCTCGTTCTTCCTCATTCTTCCTATCTTTCCTCTCACATCTCAATCTGGCACCTCTGTCCAAGGTCCACCCACAGGTCAAACCCTATATCACTCCAGGCAGGGAAAGAAAAAGAAGGCAAAAGGTAGAAAGGAAGGGCTCAGTGGGGATTCAGAAGTGGCACTATGGACAGAAGGGTTGGGAGGCAAAAACCCAAGGAGCAGTGATCAGGGCCACACAATAAGGAAGGGGACAGGGGCTGAAGACTGACAGAGGAAGCAGCGAAACCACCACTACTTTCTGTTTAAGTTATTTCTCTAACATGTTCATGTTTCTTTCTCAGCAGATAGACAGAAGGCATATTATCACAGCCTCTTTCACAAATGGAGAAGCAGATTAGGTTGTCTGCAGTCTATACAGAATTTGTAGAAGGACTAGAACTAAAATGGTTCTCTAGGGGCTGGTGAGATGGCTCAGTGGTCTAAAGCGCCTACTTAGAACAAGCTTAGCAAAGCACAGTGACCGCGGTTCAATCCCCCAGCACCACATGTCAGCCAGCCCTGTCCCCTGGTGGGCTGAGCTGGCCACACACACACACACACACACACACACACACACACACACACTAAATAAATTTAAAAAAAAATAAATAAAATGGTTCTCTAGGGCATTCTAGGTCAGCTTTTGGGGTATGGGTCCAGGGAAGAAGATAGAACATAGAATGGAATGACAGCCATCAGGACCAATCAGATCTTCAGTGGTGGGGGGTAGGCCCCACCTACTCCATCCAAGTGTAGAAGAAATCACAGCAGCCTTCAGAGGCAGCCACAACTTGTGCGCAAATGCTCTGAACAGATACCTTGTGTCAACAGCAAGGATAACACTCATCCACTTCCAAGGCATTCCATCCTGCTGTCCCTGGCCACAGCTGTCCAAGGGACCCCCTGTGCTTACCCAGTGGTGATGTCATCATCTTCCGTCATGGTCTTGCCCATGAGGTCGCTGTCACTCATGTAACCGGACTTGAGGTCCACCTCATCCGAGTCCAGGGACTCGACCAGCTCCAGGCGGGAGATGTGGCTGAGCTTGCTGGGGCTGCGCATGGGCATGGTGTGGGAGTAGTGAGTACGTTCCCCATGCATGTACCAGGCAGGTGGCCCCTCAGAGCGGCAGCTCCCACCCACAGAAGGCGCATCACCGGCCTGCAGCCGTGGGCTGGACTGGCCATAGCGCCAGGAGAGAGGAGATGAGCGGTTGGAGAGGCTGGACACGCTGCGAGGGTTGGCGTCATCACTGTCATAGCAGGTCATCTCCAGGGAGCTGGGCAGAGAGCAGAGGCACAGCATTAGTCCTCTGCGCAGCCACTGGGAACCTGTCCCCTCCACATACCAGCAGTGGCTTCCCCAGGAAACCTCTAACGGTGTGCCACCTTGCTACAGACCAATACCCCTGGCTTCCAGGAGACAATGACCTTCCTTTGCTGGGAAGCAATAAGGTATACTCTTAGGAGCTGTGTTGTGTCATATGACCTTGGATTGATTCCCTTTTTTGCCATTCATTAGTAAACACACCCAAGGAAAGTCACGAATCTTGCTGAGACTGTGTTCCCATCTCATCTGCGCTCATCCACCTTAAGGGTTGAGGGGACCACAGACACACAGCTCCAGCACAGCACCGGCTACACACAAGGCACTCACTCCCTCAGTTCCACCCGACTCCAAAGGCCTTGTTTATTCACTGAGCTCTGGGTGTGTCCATCCTCCCTTTTTGTCAGTGAGCTGAGGGCCAGTTGGTTCCTTGATGCCAGATGTAGGGAAGTGTGGAGTGTAAAGTGGGGTGCAGAGCATGAAGGAAAAGCTTCAGAGGGCCGGGGAGATGGCTCAGTGGAATAAGTGCTTCCCTGGCAAGTGCAAGGTCCTGAGTTCAATCCCTGGTTCCACAAAAAAAAAAAAAAAAAAAAAAAAAAAAACCTTCAGGACCCTGAGCTGTGCAGCAGGGCCCCAGGAAGACCAGTCACAGTGAGCAGCCAGAGGCCCAAGGCTAGGGATACAGCAGGGCCTCCCCAGGGAAGAGAAGTAGCCTTCAATGGACAGAGAAGAAATGAAGCAGGATCCTGCGCTGTCAGCCCAAGCTAAGCCAAGAAAGTGATGCTCAGGGTAGAGCCAGAGGGTCTCAGGCTAGAGGGCCTATGGCCTTTGGAAGGGGAGCTTTTTCCACACAGGCCAGGCTGGCTTCAGAGAGGATATATGGCTGGGGTCTGATGGGAGGGATAGCTTGGGCTTGGGTTCAGGTTGAGACCTGGAAGTTCACCCAGTGGAGCAGGTGCCAACCCAGTCAGCTTTGGGTCGGGCCTCATCCCTTGGCCTGATAAAGGCAGATGAGACTATGCACACAAATGGGGGCTGTGTACTGCAAGGCAGCCTGCGGCTGGACCTGAGGTACATGGAATACAAGTTTAGCAAGCACATCCCTTATAGAGCCACTTGTGGGGTTGGGAGTGGAGAGGGACATTGATTTTTCTACTCTTGTTTTTATAAAGTTCTTTGATAAAAAGAGAATCTTCCAAAACTATCTCTATCAGACCTGAGAAAATGGGCTTTTGTTTTTTCCTCCACAGACTGGATCATGGCCGATAGTCCTGTAAACCTGTATGACAGGGTTCAGCCTGCACCAGGCCTCTCCCCTGATGAATGGCAGCCCTTCCTTCAGGCTGTGTTCTTTGTCACACACTGTCTTGCTTCAGCATCTAACTCCTGGGGACCTGGACACCTCAGGTCTGGGGGAGAACAGAAGCTCCCTGGAGGCAGAGTTCGAGGATGAGGCGTGGCTCTGCCTGCTCCCCACTGTGTCAGCACTTTGCACAGGGCCTGTGTGGAGCTGGTGCCCCGAAGCACTGCCCAAGAGCAGGCCCACTGTGAATGTGCTGAGAAAGGAGCTGGGACCTCTCATCCCAAGGCCTTGCGCAGTTCAGTGCAAGTGACTGACCACAGGTGAGGAGGAGTAAGAGGATGGTGGGAACTGCTGGGAGCTGGTTTTGGCAGGCAGCCTGCACTACGGTGCTGGTGAGGGTCGCACTGACATCTGGGGTCCTCAGTTCTCTTTCTGGCATGCCCTATTCAGCTCTGCATGGAAGGTGCCTCTTTCCCCATTTCACAGCTCTGCTTTGATCCCTAACCATCTCCTGACCTCTTCAGACCTAGGGTGGGCAAGGTTTCAGTTCACACCCTCAGTCCCTGACCTGCAGCCTCTCACCCGCCCCAGGCCTGCTTCTCTGGGGAGGAAAGAGTTTCATTTCCTCTCAAGCCACAGCTATACCCCTGACCCAGACTCCTCAACTGGGGAAATGAGCCAGTAGAAATAGAGGAAGTAGCAGAGAAACGGAACTGAGTCTAGAGTTACCCTGTGAGTTCCAGGGTGAACGCAGCCTTGCCCCAAGCATCCACCGGACTGTGAGCCCCTTGGTGAAGAAGCCGCATTTGCTCTGAGGCCTGGGGTCCAGCGCCATGTGGCACAGGGATGCCCTTATCAGGTGCTGCCCTCTCCAGCCTCAGTTGTTTCTTCGTTAGCCCAGAGAATACAAGTGCACCCTGCCCTCCCAGGGTGTAGGGGAGGGCTGGCTGATGCACAACACTTTAGAACAGTAGGGCAGCAAGTCAGGATTGGGTGGTTGGGCTATGTAAATGTGAGACAGGAGTAACAGAAACCAGTGCCTAAGGGAGGACCAGCCTCAGTGATCCTTCTTTCCCTATAGGGAGATGTGGGAGCTAAAGGGCGCAGCCTCCCACCCCCAAACCAGGCTGCTTTCCACAAAAGCTCTGGGCCTGCCCTCCCCTCCCCACCCAAGCAGAGCTGCCAGGCTTCACGGAGCAGCTGCCTTGGTCCTCTCCCTGGCCTGTGTGGCTGAGTCATCTGGGGTGTGACCCTCTCAGCAACTAAGCACTTTTTGGTTTCTTTGGCACAAGGCTGGCTGGTGACTTGGCGCCGAGAGATGTTCCAGCGACTTCCCTGGATGGGGAAAGGAAGTCATCTGAGATTTCATCCATTGGGTGGCTACACTGATGAGGCCAGCTGGGCCAGACCCTGGGCCCCCTGGGGTTCCTGCCCAGAGGGGGTGAGAGACAGGAGACAGACACAAGGGTGCCTGGGTGCCATGGCCCCAGTACCCACCTTCCCCCAGACTCGAGAATCGCCTTCCTTTCAGTACTTAAGATCCTGCAGATCCTAGCCCAGGTAAGCCTGGAGAGTAAGCCTTTGATTTATTTTATCAGGTAAAGTGTTCTAGATGTCTGGGGACAATGGCTGGGTATCCCAGATGGGACTATGGCTGGGGACGGGCTGCAGAGGAAGGAAGAAGTGGGTGGTCTCAGGGAGGAAGAATGGGGGCAGGGGCTGTGGATGAGTCTCTGACAATGAAGCTGGCAGGGACTGGGCTGTGTGAAAGGCAGGGAGCTCTCTGTCACCAAGGGTATGTAAGTAAATGTGTCTGGATATTCCTGGGGACCCCATGCACTGAGTGAAAAAAAACCTTGGGTTCTAGCTTTGCTTATCATTTTCCATTCCTGGAGCTGAGGAGGACCATTCTCTGGGTCCCAGTGGGCCAGCTTCCTGGGCCTCACATGGCCTCCCTGCCGACCCCCCATGATTCCCAGTCTGGCTGCCTTTCTCCCTCCCACTGCCCCCTTGGAGCTGACAGCATGAGCTCATCTGGGCCGCCTGGAGGAAGGAGCAGAGGGGAAACTCTGAGTCACGGAGAGGCCAAGGCCAGGACCCTGTCCAGGGACAGCTGCTGAGGGAAGGGCGCGTGCCCCAGGCAGCTGGAGGCTCAGAAGTCTCTTTGAGGGCTGGGCCAGGGGCACGACACTGTGGGTGGCATCCTGTGTGCCCTGCCAGCCCTCAGGCTTCCCTCAGTGGTGGTGGAAGAGGCCAGAGGGCACCTGACTGACCAAGGGGATGGGGGGGTGGGGGGCAGTCAGGAGGAGGAGCAGTTGGTAGACAAAGCCCTTCAGCCGGATGAGGGGACAGAAGCCTAAGCAGGGCTGTGAGTGGCACAGGCAATGGCTGGAACTTCCTGCTACTACCACATGAATTTCAAACTGATTTGTCCAAGTGAAACCCATACTCCAACGCAAGTAGTACTAGACGGCTGGCTCTGCTGGATGCTGGGATCCCTCTCCCAGCAGCTCTGGAGGCAAACCTAGATGTACAAGGGGAGGTGAGCACTCAGCATGACTGTGTAGGTGGACACCTGTGTAGCTCCAGCTTACCTGTGAGTCACCTGGGAGCCTCGAAGGCTAGACATGGTCTCCTCCAGGTTCTGTCGAAGATCCAGAACATTCTGCACTGTCCTCTTTCTCTGGGACTCTGGGTCTGGCAGGGAGGGAAGGAAGAGATGGATGAGCAGGGAGGACGTGGAGCTGGCTCTGGGAGCTGACCCAAGCTGGCTTCTGTGTGCGCAAGCCCCTGGCACTGACTGGGGACTCTTGGGGTGACACAGAGCCACCTAACAGTGAGGTGGCTGGTGGGGACCTGGAGTGGAGGGGGGCTCTGGGCAGCGAAGGCTCACACCAGACACCCTAACTCAGGAGAACGCATAGGCGTGGCCTCAGTCTCAGTGAGCAGGCTGTTTCTTTCAATCTTGGTTTCCAGGCAGCCTGGACAGGTGAGATTCTACAACAGCAAACAAAATTCTCTCCCACCCATTTTTGCGGTGCAAATAACATCCACATGGCTGTGGGGTGTCTGAGTATCCTCAAAGAGCTCAGAGATAGTTCTCTTTCCCATCTTGCAAGATGGCGGGTGAAAAAACTGAGAAGCCAGACACTAAAGAGAAGAAACCTGAAGCCCAGAAGGCTTCTGCCAGTGGCACTGGTAAAAAGGGTAAGGTGAAGAAGGCAAAAAAGTCCAAGAAGGGGCAGCCCCACTGCAGCCGAAATCCTGTCCTAGTTAGAGGAATTGGTAGATACTCCCGATCTGCCATGTATTCCAGAAAGGCTTTGTACAAGAGAAAGTACACAGCTGCTAAATCAAAGGTTGAGAAGAAAAAGAAGGAGAAAGTTCTTGCTACCATCACAAAACCGGTCGGTGGGGACAAGAATGGAGGTAGCCGGGTGGTTAAGCTTCGAAAAATGCCTAGGTACTACCCTACTGAAGATGTGCCCCGAAAGCTCTTGAGCCACGGCAAGAAATCCTTCAGTCAGCATGTGCAGAAACTTCGAGCTAGCATCACTCCTGGCACCATCTTGATCATCCTCACCGGGCGTCACAGAGGCAAGAGAGTGGTCTTCCTGAAGCAGTTGGCCAGTGGCTTGCTACTTGTGACTGGGCCTCTGAGCCTTAATCGTGTTCCTCTACGAAGAACACACCAGAAATTTGTCATTGCCACCTCTACAAAAATTGACATCAGCAAAGTGAAAATCCCCAAACACCTCACTGATGCTTACTTTAAGAAGGAAGAAGCTGCGGAAGCCCAGACACCAGGAGGGCGAGATCTTCGACACCGAGAAAGATACCAGATTTCAGAGCAGTGCAAGGTGGATCAGAAAGCGGTGGACTCACAGATTTTGGCAAAAATCAAAGGTGTTCCTCAGCTCCGGGGCTACCTGTGATCCGTTTTTGCTCTGACAAATGGAATTTACCCTCATAAATTAGTGTTCTAAATTTCTTACTAAGAACCTAATTAAATACCTGATACATAAAAAAAAAAAAAAAAAAAAAGAGCTCAGAGAGCTTTCTCCTCCCTTCCACTGAACTGTACTCAGTGTCAGGTGTCACACTGAGCTGGCGGGCTCTGAGGAAGATGGCTGGTTTCCTTTTCCTTTGGGATCTGTGGCCCCTGAAGCCAGGAGACTCAACCCCTCACCAGTGAGCCCCTGAAGACAATCTGCAGCAGGGCCAGGGCTGACCCAGCGATGCTGGTGGAACATCGGTGTGGACCCTGGAGTCTGGACTCTTCTCCAGACCACTTCCCTTCCATCCCTCCAGCAGCCCTCTGTGAGCCAGCTTGGTCCTCCATCTCTCCATCCACAGACTCAGTGGGAGGGCAAGCTGCTTTGGCTGCTGAAGGGAACATTTCTGAATCCCCTGACAGGAATTTTTTTTTCAATGATTGAGCTCTGTTGGGCTGGCAGGCAGCTGCTGAGGCAAGAGGGATGGCAGGGAGCAGGCGGCAGTGCCCTCTCCAGGGCTTTGGGGCACCTTCTCTGAGGGAGGGCCAGCTTCATACAAGGCCAGGGCATCCCTTTTGTCCTTCCCAGCTTCCCCACCCCCATCCTTGAATGGCCAGCACAATGTACCCAGCCCTCCACGCTGGTAACAAGAATAGGGACAAATGGTAGGTCTCTGTGCCAGCGCCCGCGCTCTCTATGGCCTTGGCGTCTCTTCTTTGGCTGCCAATGCCTATTTATCCTGGAAAGGGTCACCTTAGAAGCTGCTCCATGGCTTTAATGGAAGGCATAGAACACACGCAGGGCCAGAACATGTATCCACATACACTTTATGGTTTATTTCTAAAATGCTCATACGGGGACAAGAACATGGTGCTAAGACTGGGATCCTGAGCCTCCAAAGTGTGTGTGTATCCCCCAGGGGAAGGTGACCAAGAGTGGCTGGGAGATTTCTCTGTGTGTTGCATCTTTGTGTAAACCAGCTACTGAATTCTACAGTCCTGGCAGATTTGTGTTACTGTCTCCTTGTATAGATGAGGAAACCGAGATGCAGAGAGCTAGAGTAACGTGTCCAAGGTCACACGTTAGTGTGTAGCACAGGGCAGTGTTGAGCACAGGAAGAAACTGGGATTTCTTTTTATCCACGGCAGGGTGTCCTCGCACCGCCAGCACCAAGCATAGTGACGGTTCAAGAATGGACGGATGTGGGTGTGACATCACACCTGGAATCCAACTGCTCCGGGGGCAAAGGCAACAAGATTGAAATTTGGAGGCCAGCCTGGGCATTTAGTGAGACCATCTCAAAATTAAATTACAAAGGACTAGGGAGCAGCACCTGTCATCCCAGTACCCAAGAGGCTGAAGCAGGGGAATCTCTGTGAGTTCCAGGCCACCCTGGCTACATAACAAGTCCAGTCTGTTTGCTTTGCCACACCAGGAGTTGAACCCAGGGCCCTTGTACATGGTAGGCAGGAGCCCTGCCTCTGAGCTAATACTGTCAGCCCTTAAGTCCAGTTTCAACGGCATGGCTAGAACTCAAGAAACTAAAAACTATCAAGTACCAAAACAGGATATAGTTCAGTAGTAGAGCACTTGCCTAACACATCTGAAAGATCCTTTTCTTTTCTTTTTTTTTTTTTGTTTGTTTGTTTTGCTCCGAATGCCCTCAGGGCTTGTGTGGCTGGCTGGAGAGTTGTGGGGATTGAACTAGAGCCACCTGAGGCTGACAGCTTGGTGGAAGCAGCCACTTAAAGAACTGAGCTAGGGCCAGGCCCCCTCCTTTTCTTTTTAAAGGAAAAATGTTTATGCCACACAGTGACCAGGTTCAAGAGGGTCACTCTGCCCTTCATAGGTCCTGGGACATGGGTGTGGTGGGTACCTAGAATTTAATGTCCTAGTGGCAACAGATAGATGCTGTCCTACTTACCCTTCACCATTCAAGGCACCCTCTCACCCAAGTCTCTTCTCTCAAAAGACTTGCAACCTAGTCTCTACCTCACTCCACATCATAGAGTAACTGCTGGTCAGTCTCTAGCCATGTCCAAACTGGAGGTGAAGAAGTCCCATCAGTTACTGAGAGATGCATGGCTGCGGACCTGGGAGGTGGTGGCCACTCAGGGCCGGCTGAGACGCCTGTGGAAGGGCACCTCTCCACAGAAGGTTGGGATAGAGCTCAATTTGCTGGTTGTGCTGGTGTGTGCAGGGAGGTGCTGGGGATCTGCACTCCACTCCCAGGCTAGGACGGGTCCTGCAGAGGCCGCCCCTAGAGCTCCGTCAGTGCCCCAGCAGTGCCCTCTGGTGGTAATTTTGAGTATGCCACCCCACTTCTCTGGCTCTGCTCTGGTCCTGGCTGTCCTCTATAGTCCTGGATGCCTGATATCCTGGAAGTGGGGCATTTGCAGCATAGGATGAGGATTTACAAGTACTCAAAGCCAAGCTTCAGGTTCAAGAGGCTGCGAATGCTTTGCCCAGCTGGGGAACGGGGGAAGAGGGGCAATGTGACACACCGCTGACTCCTCCCAGGCAACATTTTTACATTTTTAGTTCAAAAGTCGGAGTAAAGGGGCTGGGGAGATAGCTCAGTTGCACAAGCACCTGCCTGGCAAGCACAAGGTTGTAAGTTTGATTCCCAGTACCAAAACCCACCAATGAAAAAAAAACACAAAAGTATGAGTAAATTTCATTTGTAAAGGAATTAATCACACTTTAGTTGGGCAGGGTGGCCCATGCCTGTAATCCCAACACTCTGGGAGGCTGAGACAGGAGAATCACAAGTTTGAGCCCAGGCTGGGCAACTTAGCGAGTTAGCAAGATGCTACCTGAAAATAAAAAATAAAAAGGGCTGGAAGTTTAATGAAAAGCCTCCAGGCCTCACACTGAAAAATGAAAAAGAACTTACCTCACCTCTCACCCTCACCCACTCCTACTCCTCGTCCTGCCCAACCCCCTTCTCCCCATCTCTCCATGACGGTAAGGTCAGGGCTGGGTGGAGGTGTCTCAGGCACACACGACTCTATGACAACAGTAGCAACGACCTACAAGTGCAATGATTTGTTTCATTGCTCAGCCAAGATGCCCATGTGTGTTTCCATAACTCTTCAGTCTCGATGTGGGGTGGCTGCGCCCAGAGCACACAACAGAGACTAGATACAGCCAAGAAATGCGGAAATAGTCTGGTTGGCATCTCCTCCCTGGTGTCCTCCAGTGTGGGACATGCTCAGGGTGCTCCTGGCCTACGTGGCACCTCTGTGTGATGCCATGGTCCTGCCTAGCCGTGGACAGCAGAGCCAAGGACACCTCTCTCCTCCACCGCACACCAGGCCAGACACCTCCCATCTTTCTGCAAGGCTGGAAGCCCACTCCCAGCTCCTGCAGAAGAGGGTCTGGCAGGGAGAGTGGTGTGTGTGTGTGTGTGTGAGAAGCAGAGCTGGAGGGAGGCCAGGTAGAGCTGCTGTTGGTCCTACGGGGACACCAAAGCCTGTGGGGTGGAGAGACACTCATATAATGCTATCTTGGGCTACTGCTCCCAGCCTTCTCCTGCAAATGGAGCAACTAGGGAAGATGTGCGTGCCGTCAGGCTCAGAAGAGAGGCAAGAGTCTCCCCCAAGCCAACTCACCAACAGCACAATCAGTAGCATCCTCCCAGCACGCACTAATGCATCTGCAGGGTAGAGTGGCATTTATTTCTAAACACCTTTGGCTCTA